AGCAGCCCAGCGCTTAACCATTGCGCCACCAGGTTTCCTTTCATTAGAAAATACAGCAACGCAACTTACACAAGCTAAAACACAGAAAAATGAGTGGGGGCAAAAATAGAGCAAGAACTGTGGGACAACATTAAATGAAGCAATAAATGGGTAACTGGGGTCCTACAAGGAGAGAAGAGAGACCAGGGAAGAAAAATATTTGAAGAGATAATGGCTGAGCTGGCTCGAAGATAAGGCCTGGCAATCTACTTCTTAAAAATCAGTCACTGAAACCCTGTGCAGCACAGGTCTACTCTGACACACGGAGTTGCCGTGAGTCAGAAAAACAGCTGCTGCTTTACTTCCACCGTCCAAACTCCCACGAGAATCTCTCGTGTGGTCCCCTAACAGGAAACATGCTGCACAGGGAACTCTGGGAAATGTAGTTCAGCCTAGCTAAACCAACACATTACAAAGCAACCACAGACAGTTTTTTTTTTTTTTTTTAATAAATTTAAACATATAGTTACCATAAGACCCACCAAGCCCACTGTTAGTATACCCAAGAAGAATGAAAACTTAGGTTCATACTAAAACAAGGACGTGAATGTTTATAGCAGCTTTGCTGACAATCATCAAAAACTGGAAATAACTCAAATGTTCTTCAACAGATGAATGAATAAATCAACTGCAGTGCATTCATATCATACAATTACTCAACAATAATAACAAACACACTACTGGTAAGTGCAACAACACTAATGGATCCTAAGTGCATTATGCTAAATGAAAGAAGCCAGAATTAAAAGGCTACATACTGTATGGTTCCATTTCTACAGTGTTCTGAAAAAGACAAAGCTACAGAAGGAGAACAAATCATTGGTTGCAGGAGTTAGGGCTGAGGTAAAGACTTGGGGTGGGGAGGTGCAGAGTGATGGAACGATACTGTGTTTTGATTGTGGTGGTGGTGGTTACACATGCATGCACTTGTCAAAACTCACAGAACTGTAAACCAAAATGAGTGAATTTTACTGTGTATAATTTTTTAAAAATAAGTAAACTTAAGAAATAAAGCAATTACTAAGCACCAAATATAAAAATGTCTGTATTTAACTGTGTACTTTCTACTCATTTTTCAAATGTACACACTCATAATATATATTTACGTGGGAAAACAGAGACTGGAAGTAGATAACTGATTATTTCTGGGTAGTGGGGTGAAAGAGAACTTTTAAAAGTTAACATTATGACACAGTTGTTCCGTTCAAGTGAAGCTCAAGGATGGGAGGAGGCCCAGGAGAGTTTTTGTTGCACACACTACCTGTTAATTTCTAAAATGCAACGTTTTTAAAAATTCATGTAAAATATCTCTGTAGCAGTACAGTGCCCCACAACAACATGTACCTGGGATGGTGGTGTACGTAATTCTTATATTTTTCCTTCTTTCTGTTTTCTACTAGGTTTATGTACTGGTATGCATCACTTAACGTCCTTTCGGGCAAGTTCCGACTGCATAAACTTTCGTGGGTGTTGCACCCAGACATCTCAGTGCCAGGATGCCAGACCTCCATCTTGGGGTTGGAGCCCCACTTCTGTCCGGCTGCTGTGTGCAGCCCAGGAGCCACCTAGTCTACAGCAATGGAGGCCCAGACCCAAACTCCCAAGCCTGGTCCCCCTCGGCTCCCATGAATCTGCAGGTCCAGTCCTGACGTTTTACCCAGTGTAGTCCCATAGAGCACCCATGGAAAGGTATGTGCCCCAGATGCCCCAATCCTGGCTCGGGCACCCTCAGCCCCCTTCCCAGGCAGGCTTTCAAGGGCAGCTGGCCTTCCTTGCAGCTGGCTTGGCAGAGGAGGCAGAGACGGCCGGGTAGAACCTGGCCAAGCGCTCACCTGAGGTGTCCACAGCAGGTGCTGCCCAGGCTGCACACAGCACAGCAGCCCCTGGGCCACTGGGTGCCCCATGTCCAGTGGACATGTGTTCGTACAATGTCCAAATCACATAACAGTCCTACGTCACAGAATGTATCATGAACGTTAAGTGACACATACCCATATTACTTTTATAAGTGTGTGTGTGCACACGTGTCTGCACATGTGCACACACACGGGGGGAACAGAGAGAGGCAGTAATAAGTTTAAAAACACCCACAATTACAAAGAATGCAAAACTCTTCAGGCTGTTAATCTCCTGATATACTATATTGTTTAAGATTTTTTTACACTGGTGACCAATTCTAGTCTCCAAAATGCAATAAATCCAGTGTGGACTGGATCAACAAGCATCCTAACCTCCTTCTAGGAGGCAGGGGCTGCAGAGTTAAAATTTGCATCTCCCAGACTCCCTTGCATCTAGGATTCTGAATATAATTTTGGTTGCACCATTAGGTAAGAGACTTGGATTTGGAACTGAAACCACCATGCTGGTGGGGACTACTGTAGAGACCATGCATTCTGGAGCTAGAGGTACAAGGGCAGCTTCCTAATTCAGCACTTAGGTTTCTGACCCTAGCAGGGACAGTAGCATCCATGGCTGCCAAATTCTGAAGTATTACTTTCAGAGTCATTCTTGGAAACCCAGTCTGCTTCTTCAGCCTCCTGCAGAACTAAATGTTTTCATAAGCTTTCTATTTAAACAAGCTGGAGGAGAAAAGAAGCAAAACTAATATACACTATACCATAAATTTATGAGAATTTTGTTACACCATGAAATTAACATAAATCCATCTAACAGCATTATTACTGTCACAGTCATTTTCAAACAGTAATTGTATCTCACTGTACCACTGTATCTCATTTCAAACAATAATTGTATCTCATTGTATCTCCCTATGACCAAGCATACTGCACCGATCTTCTGTTCAGAGTTACCACCTAGTCCTGTCTTAAGCACCTAGGAATGCTGACAGTTTCACACTTTAAGATTATACTTTTATTTCTGCTGTTCTCTCCCTTCACCAGCAGAGACCTAGCTGAAATGCCTCCGGAAGCCTCTTCCGATTTGATTGGTCCAACTCATGGTTCCCTTCCCAGTATTTCTGTAACACCTGCTCGTACCACTGACAGCCAAAATTACACTGTGTTTTATTTGGGTATCTTTTAATCTCTTGATCTTGATTATAAATTGGTTAGTTCCCTGAAGTAAGGACCACAATCCCTTTTGTGTGCCTAGTGCCTACCCGAGGGCCTGGCAAGTTACAATGCTCAATAAACACGTTGAATTGAATTGAGTTCAGAATATAAAACACAGAGACCATAAAGTGAGCATATCACATTAACTGCAGGGAAAAGTACCTTTCCTTTAGTTTCTCTTCTTCTGCTGAGACTGGCAGTCCACTCACCATCTTGAACAGACAGGTGTTGGGCCTGCCATCTTCCATGATATAGGAACCCCTTGTGCTTAAACTATCTCCTTATTAGGTAATACAGGAAGTAACTTTCTATCTTTAAGCTCTCTCCTTATTCAGGTATACTTCCTGTTCCGGCTCAGTCCAGAAAAACAAGAGACTGAGGTCTTAAGACCAGTGAACCCGGTCTTGAACCAGGTCTGGCCGGCCTGACATGCGCAGTACCTACGACCATGTCCTTTGGACGACCTACTGACATCAGAGGCCGAAAAACACACCCCCATCTACGCTCTAGATGTGTGCAAAACCCCATCTTTGTGGCCCCCTCGGACTGAGCAGGCGCAGAAGATCGCACCGCCCCGGGAACGCCTTTTCGGGACACAGCAATCAGCAAGCTGGCTCCACCTTGAGGCGTTCCTGAAGACCCTAGACCAAATTTACTTTTAGCATATAAAACCCTGGAGCTACTGTTGGAGAAGCCATCTTGGTTACACGAGTCCCAGAAGGCTCTTTTACTTGGCCCAGTAAATAAAGCTTCTTCCTTCGCTTCGTGCCTTATAGCCCCACCGAGCAGACCTGGATGAGTCCGGTTACACTACTTCTTTATCAGACCTGCAAATTTCATTCTTGAGGATTTTGTTTTGCAGTTTCTACTTAGTTATACAGATATATTAATAACTGCCATATTAATAATATTGGAATGCTATGTTATTCTGACCATCTGAAGCTAAATGCCAACCAACAATACATTTTAAATTCTCAGCTGCACAACCTATAAATTTAAATCATGACATTTAACAATATGGGTACGAGTGAAGTTTTGTCAGAAGAACAAATGTCAGTGACACTAACAGCTTAAATTACTATGCCTTGGATTTAATGTATCAACCCATATTCATAAGTAATAATTCTGCTTCAGAAATAATGCAGACAAGATGCAAGAGCATAAAAGGCAGGATATTAGCTCACATCAAATACTTGATAATCGATAAAGACTCTAGTTTCCTATTAATAAAAAGGATGGGTGCTGTAGAAAGCTATTTCTGGGCTTCTTAAAACAGAAATTTCCTGATTTCAACGAGATTGTAAGTTTCACTAAAGACAGCAAGTCCATAAATACAAAAAGAAAAGGAAGTATATAACACTAGACAAGACTGAGCTACTATTTAAAATTAAGTAGGATACCGCATAGCATTAAAGAGTCAAATATCAAAAACCTTGACAAATTCTCCTACTCTGCTTGACTGAGGTTGTTTCCATATTAAAGGTCTGCACCAAATTCAGGCTCACCAATTAATAAAACAGCTAGAAAAACACTGAAGGTTGAAAGCAAAATAACAAGCCCCCAAATCGGAGATCAGGAATGTTTAGTGCAAATCGTTAGAAGAGCTTTGCCTATTTTACAAATAGAAAACTTGGAGGGAGGTGAAGAGGGTAAATTCATACTGCCCAAGGTTTATAGCAAAAACTCAGGGCCTCCTGACACTGGGTCTTACTCACAATTACTCTCTAGCACAAAACTTCTCCTTCTGAAAGAATGGCCTCCATTCTATGTTGAGCAAATAAAAATCACTCAATTACAGGCTTGTTAAATGAATACTTTAAGGTTTACCAGATTTCTAAGACAAAATAATTTCAACCCAGCATTTTATTTTATTCACAATTTTCTACTTACAAAGTCTTGACGTATATCGTTGAAGTCTTTGCCATATTTTTCCAGTGCCTCTTCAAATAAACTAGCTTCAGAGGCTGACCATTCTTCCATTTCATCTCTGCATAAAACAGGACCTCCAAGTGGTACTAAGACACTAATTGCACTGCTCAGATCATAGCTGTGTCTATACAGTGTATCCATAGCATGGAACTAAAGAGAACAAACAAAATGGAGAGAAAAGATCAGCCAGAAATGCAAACTTGCTAGATTATTTCGGAATAGAAAGTAATAGTATAACATATGATTAACAATAATATACTTAGATAGTATTTATTTAATTAATAAAAGAAAAATGTTAAACTAATTATTTAATAATTGATTAAAATATAATTTATTGCTTTATGAAAATGTTCAGTTGTATCTGTTAAAGTATGTATTAATAAAACGCATTCATTTCTTAAGGCAACCTAATATAACCATGAAGAGATTCAGGATCTTCAGGTATAAAATTGGGAACCCAGTAAGTTTCACCACCCTGATCGTTAAAAATGCCAAAATCACTTCAGCTATTGTGTAAGGCTGGCACACCCTTCATAAACCAGGAAAAAATATGTAGATTAATAAACAAGGGGGGAGGAAAATAATATTCTCAACTGGATTTAGAGAAGGATGTGGTAAGAACAAGAGATAAAAAGAAAAAAACTACAGCTGAGAATGATGGCAAGACAAAACAAAATTAAATATATAAATGTTAAAATAAAGATATTTTAGTAATCTGGCTGAGATCTCAAAGACCAAGGATTGGTGACCAGGCTTGCTTGGAACAGCTAAGCAGGGTGTGAGTTTCATGTACATTTCAACAGCGAGTGATTTGAAGAGTAATTTGAAAGGGGGAAGGATACACTAGGACCTTTTTTTTTTTTAGCAAAAGCACCTGAGGTCTATCTTTTTCCCCCATCAGAAGCAGTGAATAATTCCAAAACTCAAAAGTTTTTTTTTTTTAAATCTTTGATTTTTTTTTTTTACTGGAGAGAAAGAGGTTTCATAACATGTATGCAACTTTTATGTATAGCAGGAAAATTGCATCACAGGCAAACCAGCTCTGCTGCTGTGGGATAAGCACGTAGGTGCCCTGTGAGTTTGGCTGGCAAAGTGATCAAAGCCCTGCCCAAGTGAGAACTAGCTCTGTCTCCTCCACCCCCACCCCATCTTTCAAACATATGAAAGTCAAATCTCACAACCTTTACACAAAGTTTCTTCTGCTGTTTATTAAAAATTTCACAAACGTGGATAGCTTCATTTCTGTGCCTCAACCCACCCAAACCACACACTGACATTGAGTTGATTCTGACTCATAGCAACCCCATAGGGTTTCCAAGGCTGTAAATCTCTATAGAAGCAGACTGCCATATCCTTGTCCCACAGAGCCAATGGGGATTTCGAACCGCTGACTTTTCAGTTAGCAGTTGATCACTTTAACCACTGCGCCGCCAGGGATCCTATGTCTCAACAGGCCTCTTTAAAAGTTAGCTTTTAAATGATACCTAAACATCTGGTAGGAGGCTGTGGAAAGTTTCCTACAGGCATCAGAGTATAACGTAAGCCGAAATATCAACTAAAATCTATTTAAGAGAAAAACTGTTAGCAAAAGTATGCATTATGAATATATATTTACACTGTGATACATTAAGACATTAAGGGTGTAGGATATGAACTTGTTGATAGAGCTAAATGCTAGATTTAGGACATGCAGACATGTTTGGACACAGTAATTGCTTTAACTAGGGGGACAGCTCACTTAAATCACTGGATTCACAAAACAAAAGCAAACAGGGCTTTTATTATCAATTTCCTACTTAGATTCACAACTGACTACTCCACTGACCATGTGTGATCTTTCACTGTGTGTGTTCCAACTCCAGAGTAATAACTTCAATTTTCAAGTGAATGTCTTCTCACCTTTCTGCAGCAAGAGCTGCAATAATGTTAGAGTTGATCTTGATTGTCTGCTTCCACTCTGCAAATTTCAGAATCAACTAAACTCCACTCCTCTGGCTAATCGTCTCTCTAGACAGACTTGGAAGCTCAGCTATAATGTACACTGACTTTTACATTACCTATGAAACTAAATAATTATTGTTTCTGGATAACTGGTCTATGAAAATGAAAAGGCATTTCAATAGCATTTAGGAGTTCCTTCAGTTAAAGGTGGTGCAAATAGTCTGTGCTCAACTACTAACCAAAAGGTCAGCGGTGTGAACCCCCACAGCTGCACCTCGAGAGAAAGGTCTACCAACCTGCGTTTGTAAAGATTACAACCAGGAAAACCCTATGGAGCTCAGTTTGGAGCTCAGTTTGACTCTGTAACATATGGGGTCACCATGAGTTGGAATCAACTAGAAGGCAACAGTTGGTTTTCTTTTGTTGTTCGTTTCAGTTAGTAATATATTGACATAAAATTATTTAAAACTTCCTAAATTTGAAATGGATAATAAAACTAAAAGATGATATTCAAAATCAATAATAAAACAAATTTTACAGTTATGTAATTATACAAACTATACAAACTGTAATGCTGAAAATTCTTAAAAGTTAAGAGTAATTGTTATAATTAACAGGTATCTGAAACCAAAAGTCACAAAATTAAGTTTTTCTCAGCTGATATTATACCATCTACTCAAAGCATGAATGGATTTTTCATATTTTGATCCATGGTAGATAATGAAATTGCTTATCTTATAAAGGTACTTTAAAAATTGATGATAAGCTGTTGTCTAATTAGGCTACAAATAATCAAATATCTTAACGCTTACAAGTGATTATGACCAAAATCTCAAGGAATTATATAGATTGTTTTCAAGGTTCTGTTCTTTAAGGAAGAGTTCCTGGGTCATACAAATGGTTAACACCCTAGGTGGCTAACAGAAAGGCTGCCAGTTCAAGTCCACCCAGGGGTGCCTCCAAAGAAAGGCCTGACAGTCTACTGAAAAATTAGCCATTGAAAATTCGATGGAACACAGTTCTGCTCTGAAACACGAGTCACCATGAGTTAGAATTGACTTGACAGCAACTGGTATAAATGGTTAACACACTTGGTGATAAATGAAAGGTTGAAAGTTTGAGTTCACCCAGAGGCATCTTGGAAGAAAAGCCTGGTGATCTTCTGAAAAATTAGCCATTGAAAACCCTATGGAGCACAGTTCTAGTCCGACACACGGGGGGACTGTGAGTTGGAGATAACTTAATGACAACTGGTTTTTGGTTCTTTAAGTGTGTTTGTGTCACTAACACTGCAGCAGCATGTGATTTTGAAGGAGTTCCGGTGCTCTCACAAGTGGGAAAGAATGAGTCAGAGTTATAGCTGGCCAAAAAAAAAAAAACCTAACCTGCTGCGTTCGAGTCGATTCTGACTCGTGATGACCCTACAGGACAGAGTAGAACGGCTCCATAGGGCTTGTAAGGCTGTCATCTTTATGGCAGCAGACTACCACGTCGTCCTCCCGGGGAGCTGCTGGTGGGTTCAAATTGCTGACCTTTCAGTTAGCCGCTGAGCACTTAACCACTGTGCCACTATGGTTCTCCAAAACCTACATCTATACCACAGGGCAGAGAAGAGTGCAGTGCTGATAAGTCAGGGCAGAGAGCACCCTTACCCTTACTGCACACTAGGCATGTACACCAGGCATGTACACCGAGGATTCACTAGCGAATAACTGTTGCAATCAATGACCAACTTCACAAAGGAAACCAGAGGATCCTATTATTTGAAGTCCATATTGACCCTATCTTTCTGACAACACACACAGCTTTTGAATGATCTTTTATATTATTCTAGCCTTAACCTAAAACATCCAGTGAAGATTTATGGAAATAAGCTAAGAAAAGACATGGGAGTTTCACATAAAATCAATGACTGGTGGTTTATTTATCAGTAAGATAACAAACACGCAAAGAATTAAGACATAAAAGAATATACTGAATGATTCCATTTATACGTAGTTTGAGAAAAGGAAAAACTAATCGATGGTGAGACAAGTCAGAATGGGAGATGTCAGTGACCCGAAAGGAGCATGAGGGGAACATTGTGGGAGGCTGGTGATGTTCTCCATCTAGATCTGGGTGGTGGTTACCTGGATGTATACATGTGTAAAAATCTATAAGCTGTGCACCTAAGTTTCTGGTTTATTGTATACTTTATGTGTACCTCAATTTAAAATAAGAAAAAGAATTTAAAAACTGAGCACAAAAAGACTGAAAGTCTTCCCTCCAGATAAATACTTTGCATAATTGATCTTTTCAATAGAGATACAGATACGCACTGGAAGATCCATTCAAATCTAAATTTTAAAAATCAGAAGAACCCAGCACAAGCTGTTCTCTCTGCCAAATAGTGGTGAAGGTGTTGTCACATTTCATCTCATTCATAACAGATGGAGACGACAAACAGAAGTATTTTAGGAGAAAGACTGACAAGGAAATCTTGGCAGTGGCATCTCGTCTTTTGTTCATTAAGCAGGATCATACCAGGTAGGTTATTGTTCAGCAAATATTCACTCCCTCCCCTAGACTTCCAAAGGAGTATCGTTTCACGCCATGTTGGGCTTGGCCACATGACTTGTTTGGACAAAAAAATGTTAAGATACGCAACATGAGTAGAGCTCTGAAATGTGCTTGTGCATTTGGGCTTGCCCTCTTGTGCTACTAACTTTGGTCCAAGAAGGATGAGAAATACATGGAACAGATCTGAATCTAACTGGTGGTTTGGTCAGCCCAGTCCAGTTCAGCAGAATCGTGGACAATCCACATGCATGTGTGAGAAAATAGTGCTTGTTGGTATAACCACTGAAATTTTGGGCAGCGTAATGGATACTGAGTTTCTCCATTTGGGAATAAAGAACTTACTCACGCAGCTGCCAGAACTGCTATAAGCGGACAACCCTCAGCTGCAGGTCCTCTTTGGAATTGTTTCAATTTAAGAAAATCTCATTGCGCAAGGTCATGCCCCTTCCTGGGGCAGCGTGTATCCAGTGACGCAGGAGTAGTGTAAAGGCTACCTCGGCTTCAAAGCTTCCCATGGGGTCAGCAGAGGCCTTCATCCATCTTCTCCCTCTGTCCAGTCCTGCCTCTCTCCCTTCTCTTCCGTAAGTGTTTCTCTGAAGAGTACTCCCTAACAAATTTCTTGCATGCAATTCACCACCTCAGAATCTGCT